TAATGATAAGTTTAAAAGATTCTAACTGTTTTCTAGATAATATATCATTTCCATTATTACCCTTTTAATTTTAAATTTTTTTGAATCTTTTTAAATTTTAATTTTAATTTTAAAAATCTTTTAATTTTATTTTTTTATCACAATATATGGTTATTGAGTTGTTCTCGCGTTTTCGTAAATCACAGGGGTTCTCGTTTGAACCCTTCCCTATATATATATATATTTATATATATGTATGTATGTATGTATGTGTGTGTGTGTTCGTATAAACAATCGAAAAATATTGAATAGACGATGATTAACTTTATAATCTTGATAAACTTTTGATGAAGATCATGAGTATGATTGAGGCATGCGATAGCAATGTCCTTAGACAGAAAATCGTCTCTTGTACCGTTGAATTTTGTGGACGTCTATCTAGAGGATTCAACAATCATTTCAAGTATCGAACTCGAATCCAACGAATCAAACTTTAAACTTATGCTTCCATAATGAAGTTTCCAATGAAGAATAAAGAGAACCTATAGAATATGTATGAAAAAGTCTACCAAAAATCGAGATTAGAAAGAATATTTATATGTTTCCCATAACAACTGAAATTAACCGACAAAAAACTGTCGAGCAAAGACTTGCGCAACCAATCCTGTGACCTTAGGTCGTGCGGGATGCCTCGAGACAGCCGTTTCCAGCTGTTGTTCCCCTCCCAAGGGCAGGTGTTGCGTGACTTAGGTCGCTTGCGTACCCACATATGTTTTCGTTGTCTCCACTTTTCTCAATCAAGTCAAGAGACCCCAAGAGCCCCAAGGCCCTCTTGACTTGTAATATGTGCTAAGCCCATGCAATTGGTTTGTAAGATTCTAAAATTGGTATTTGGTATTGGTACTATAAGTTGGATTTTATCTAATGTGATTTAACCTTAAAAATACCTTTCATTTTGGTTTCTATAGTAGACTTGAGTCTTGCGTTTTTATCATAAAAATGATTTTAATACGAATAATATTATAATTTATATAAGAAAATTTTTAAATATTTTTAGACGTAAAATAACTCAATAATAATTTCTAATCAATACTACGTGGTATATCTCTTTCAATAGAGAGTATTGTCAATATTTTCCTCTATCAAACACATCCCATGATGCATTGGGATGATATGAGATTTAAAAAGGAAAGTTGGTGAAAAAGTTTATCTATGTGTATGTGCTTTTTCCGTACAAAGAAAACAGAAGCCAAGGTAGATTTGAAGACAAAGTGATTCTGTGAAATTATCTTGATTAATTGCTATTCATCTTCATAATCGAAGCTTAAGCTTAGGATCTTATACTTGAAGGCCTTCTAGTCGCTTTTGCCGTCGATCTTTCTATTTTTGTGAGGAGTATGTCGGATAGGCTCATAGCGTTTCTCACCAAGTTTGACCCCTTGGTTTAGACATTTGACCTGCAGGTCTGTTTCTGTACCATTCTCGTCATGGTCGATCCACGTCCAACTGTAGTGCCTGGAACTTCATCTCTTTGTGATTAAGGTGAGTTTAATTTTACAAACTTTCTTTATTTGGAAACTAGATGTAGAACCGTATGGTTCTTTATATGAGTCGTTATTATAAATCTATTTTGATGCCATAATTGGCAAAATTGTGAGACTTTAATATGTTTATATCATGTGTTGGAATAAGGGTGACATATCAAGGAGATATGTATTTTGGTTATAAGGGTAACATATCAAGGAGAGTTGTATACTGGTATAAGGGTGACATATCAAGGAGAGGTGGATACCAGGATAAGGGTGGCAAAATCATGAGTTATAAATCTAGGTTTTGATCAAACATTCATTGTTATTGCATCCTTATGATGCGATGACTTGGAGTTGTCGCATATGTATGCTATAACTTGGAGTTATCGCATCCTATTGATGCGATAAAAAGTGGTTGAGAGTGAGTTTATCGCATTCTTGTGACGCGACAAGTTGTTTTATCGCATCCTATTGATGCAACAAGAATGGTTTATCGCACCAGTGTGATGCGATGAGTTGAGGTCCTCGCACCAGTGTGTTGCGAGGAAATGGAGTTGTCTCACCCATGTGATGCGATAAAATTATATAACCATCTATATGATGCGACAAGTTTGCTCGGAATGTGTTTATCAAGTTATTTGGCTATTTTGATGCGATAAATGAAGTTCGTTATATCAAAATGATGTGATATTAAAACAAATATGAGTTCATTAATGTGATTTGGTGATTATGCACCCTGTAATGTAATCAAAGAGATTTCTCAACAGACCTCAAGGTCTAACCCTCATTTTGTATTTTGGAAATGTGCATTACAAGTCGTGCTTAATAAGAGAAAAAGGGGAAGGAAAAATTGTAAAGTTTTATATATATGTTTGCATGGGATTTTGGGCTAGAGTGTTCTTTTTTTGTATATGCGTACTTGTTATGTATTCAAGTGTTGTATAGAGATTTGTGGAAAAATTTGGTAGCTACTTTGTAATTTAGTTTTTTGTAATTAGTAGAATCAGTTGTGTAAATTATATTTCATAATATATGGAAATATATGTTTTTATGCAAATTGTGATCTTGGGGTGTTATAACCTTATTTTTATTGTATTTTCTTATAAAATTACAAATTGAGAAACTATAAGAGAGAGAGAGAGAGAGAGAGGAGAGAATGCACAACAAAAACAAAAAGTAAATCAAAATTCTCACAAAATTCTAAAATCTAAATGGAGGTTTCTTTTTTATCATGTTACAATGCCTTCTAATATATATATATATATATATATATATATAGGGGCCTAATCAAATGAGAATTAATTAGTTTGTGGTAACTGTGAGAACCAATATTAACCACAAATCAATAGATAAATTAGGAAATTTATAATTTTGGCAATTTTGAATTAAAATATTAATGCAAGGACATTTTTGGTATTTTAAAACTTTCCTCCCTCCTCTCTTCTCTCTCCGGCCACCGTCCTCCGGCCACCATCCTCCGGCCACCGTTCGCCGGCCACCGTCCTCCGGTGATACTACAATGGTATCACAATGCATCATATATGTGCTTGGGTATCACATTGATGTCGTTTGTATGGTCGATCGAAGATGTAACACAGTGGTATCACTATGCATCTTATATATGATTAGGTATCACAATGTATCTTTTGTTTAACAGAGTCAATATTTTTAGGTATCACAGTAGTATCATAGTGGTATCACTGGAGGACGGTGGCCGGAGAGAGAAGAGAGGAGAGTTTTAAAATATCAAAAATATCCTTGCATTAAGATTTTAATTTAAAATTACCAAATTTATAAATTTCCTAATTTATCTATTGATTTGTGGTTAATATTGGTTCTCACAGTTACCACAAACAACTCAATTCTCCCTTGAATAGGCC